CCTTAACTTTGAGAACTAATAATTTTGCACAATAGTAGTAAATGTTTTTTAAAAATCCATACGACTCATTAAATCATAGTATTTAAGGAAAATACTTTTTCCCATTTAGGCCGGAGCATAAAATAATAGTTGCTTCCCTACTTTTTTTTATATACTACTCTATTGTATATTTCGTAATACTTGTGCTCTCCTTTTTCTAAAATTTATCGTAATTCTTTTGATCTGCTGATCTTATGAATAAGCTATTGATAAATTATGTTCGAATAGATTATTATTTTCAATAATACATACATTAGGGAGTATGGTTATTGTAGGAATTTAAAAAAATCGAAAATAACTTTTTATGCTTTAATGATAATTTATTATATTAAAAATAAAATACAGTTGGCTTTACAATTGAAAAATATTTATAAACTAGAATTTGAGCATTAAAGAACAATGGCGTCGGAACCTATAGGGACTCAGCAGAAAAGGATAATTAACGCGCAAATTGTCGACAAATTATCAATTTTTTACAGTCGGATAAACAACTAAGGAAGAGAAAATTCAACATCGAAAAAAAAAACAAGAGTAAGTGTACGCAGGAAGTAAAAACTAAATGGAAAAACATACAAAGTCAAGGTTTATTTTTGGTGGTATAAAATCAACAATAAATGTTTGTTAAATAGTTTATTTATTATACAAAGAAGCTTTAAATAACTCATAATATATTGAAACTATCTCTGAAATGTTTAAAATTCTGTGCTTTCTCTTTTTAAATCTTTTTTAATTGTGGGATGTATTTTTTTTTTAATTTTATCCTCCAGTGATAAGCGTAGTTTTTTTTCAAGTAATACAATGTTATGAATAATAGTCGGATCCAGAATATATGGGAAATTTATAGTATATGACAAAGAAGAACTCAATAAAATTTTCCAACCTCTATTAGATTGAAAAATTTGCTCAGTCTTTTCCGGATAATTATAGTAAATATCTACAAAAAAAGTTGTTTTTTCCAACACTAAAAGAAGAGCTATAAAAATAAAAAAAATGATATCAATAACATACGTTGTGTGTGTTAAATGTTTATTATAAAATATTTACCTTTTATATAATTTTATGCTCATTTTTTACAAATTGAATATAAGGGATATGAATATTTGACTCACCATCAATAACTCGTTGATCTGTTAGAGCAGTATCAGACTTTGAAATACTTTTAGATATTTCTAATAATTTTTTACTTTCAGTAATTTGTTTGACTATATTTGAAATAGCATTTGTTAATTGTTGTAATGTGGGATAATGTACATCTTGTCTTAAAATTTCAAAAAATTGTATATCCGCTTGTCTGCGTTTTATCAAAATTTCTTTATCTATAATATATTTATATACATATGCATACATGAAAAGAAAATTTGTACTGCATTATTACACAGAATAAATATTTAAATAAAATAATATACTAAAAAACTTTCTAATAATACTCACAATACTTTGGATTTTCTAGTACTTTGTGCATAGAACTTCTGAAATAATTATCACCACGCATTTGTTCTTGATGATTTGACGCTTCTACATATATCTGCATGATCGTTAATAGCACTAAATACCAGTTAATATGCAGTAGCTTTATTTCCATGATTACTTATTAAAATCTAATCGTAGGTTTAAAATAAGAGTGATCTACTTTCGTAAATGCAACCGTGTATAATTATATTTACTCTGGCAATGTATAATATAAATGATACGAATTTCCTAAGAACATATTAATATAAGTCTATAATTCAAATATTAAATTAAAAAAAATGTAAACAAGTGCTAACCGTCAAGACATATAACGTTCATTATAAGTATAATAATAATAATATAATGTAAATTCATATATAATACGAGTGTTTAGTTATGTAATAATAGAAATAAAGATTTTAATTTTTGTAAATTTTTTACTGAGAATTTATAATTTGTTTAAAAATGAAAAACAATTGATCAAAGATTCCTTCTTACAAGTTTCATTAAATTTTAAATATTGTAATCAAAATGAACTTGAAAAAAATGAACATGTATTTGATACGTTGTTTAACATCGTTAACAGTTAACTAGTTCAAATATTGTATAGTATTATCGAGAGTCTTCAAAATACTGGTTATTTCAAAAAGAATAAAAAAGAAACTATTTGCTAAAGCGGAAACAAATTTGATGTTGGTACCACTTGGTCAAGGATATGCCAAAAAATTATCTTCATTAATCTGACTAATTTTAAGAAGAATTCAAGTGCAATAACTTATTATCGTATTTTTTTTCGATATTCACAATGTAAATAATATTAATATGTAGTATTCAATATCATAGGTTTGTATAATCTAAAGCAGTGGTTCTCAAGGTGGGCGATATCGCCCCCTGGTGGACGATGAAGCGGTCTGGGGGGGGGGCGATGACGACCATAGGTGAACTTTGGGGGAAATGAACTACTAAAAAGGAAAAAATGTCATATATCGGCTGCTATACAACGTAAATAGTAGTAAAATATTACAAAAATTCCCTTATTCTTATCTTCGTGTCTGGTGAGCTTGGTGGGCTATGAAAACGGTTAAGGGGGCGATTGACACGAACTTAGCGAATTTAGCGGGTGTGCGATTAAAAAAACGTCATGAGTGCACACGAAAATACCCAAAAAATAGCCAAAATAGCCAAAAACCAGTTACTAAAAAAAAGAAAAGGAAGAAAGCAATTTTTCAGTTGGAATGGGGGCGATAGGACAAAAAGTTTGGGAACCACTGTTCTAAAAGCTAAAACGCGTCTCGAAGTTCCAATATTTATTTATTATAATAAAATTATTAAATCTACTGTATTCATTGATAATTTGCATTTATAGATGATATTTACCAAATTACAGAAATATTTACCATTAAATACAGTTTTTATTATTCGAGAGAAAAATTTAGCCCATGGAGGATTAAAATTTTTAATGGAAAAAATGAAAGTATACGTATTTATTCAATAATTTATTTGACTTCAAGTTTTCTTATAAATATTATATATTTTATCAAAATTAGTAATGAAATTTTTTTAAAGGTGCATTATTAATATGTCCAGATTTTATTTTTTTGAGATCTTTGTATTTTTAATTCTAATTCATGTTTTCTTTCGTTAAAATGTTTTTTAACTATAGAAATTTGAGCAACAATAGAGGAATCTAGAATTGTTTCCATTGAATGAGTAAATTTCACAGCTTTATTTAATACATGATGCCAATCAATTTCAAATTCCAAGATCTCTGTAGTAATTTCTGGAAAATTATAATAAATATCTGCGAACCAAGCTGTACATGCTGCTATTGACAACATGTCTATAATATAAAATAAAAATATATCAACGACTTAAAATGTGAAATATTAAATATTAATTTTTTTTCGTATAACTTTAGGTTCATTTTTTTCAAATATGTATATAAAGGATAAAAGTATCTAACTTACTGTTTATAATATCTTCAGTTGTTGGAATAAGTTCATTTGTTGCATTAGATTTGGCCGCTAATAATATTTTTACAGATTCTTTAATCTTATTTACTATATCTCGAATAGAATTTTTGATATCTCCAAAGTTATAACATTTTTCATTCTCATTTTTAAAAACTTTTACAAACTTTCCATAATTTTCTTTTATTCTTGCAAACTCTTCCTCATCTATAATATATTTATAATATATATATATATATAATATTATCTGACCAGATAACCATAATAATATATATTATTATGTTTTTAATTATCATAGAAGATAATCATTTAAATAAAATAATAAAATAAATATTAGCTTGAAAATTTAAAGATATTTTCATAGCACGTACATTGTTCTTGATTCTGTAGAATTTTCTCCTCAGCATTTCTGAGTGAAGTGTTCATGTATTCTTTGCTTTGGAAATTTGAATTCGAAGTTTCCCCATTTATTTGCACAATCATTAACAGCACTAAAAACCACTCAATATACAGGAGTTTTCTTTGCATAATGGCCAAACAAGATGTGTATTATTTTATTTTAATCTTACGATGTATTATTAAGTATAATTAAGAATAATATTCTTTCTTAAAAGCCAATGCTTCTATACGTATACATATATTTACTTAATATTTGTGATACAAATGAAGACACATGGGAATAGCAAGTATATAAGCTAAATGCAAAATCAATGTAAAACTGATATTAAATGTCCTAATGAATAACGTTTATTTCAAACTTAATGAAAACATAATGTATTTATTCTATTCTACGTACATGTTATATTTATATAACAAAATAACGTTTCTAATTTTTATTTTAATAATGTTAATTATTTAAAAATAATTATTTTATCCTATGAAGAGAATTTTAATTTTGTAAAAGAGATAACATATTAATTAAATTAAATAAATAAATTACATTAAATAAAGCAAACGAAGACAAAAATTTGTTTTCTCCGAATTTACAACAGTGCAGTATAGGCACGGTGACCACTATTTCTAGAAGAAACTACAATAAAAAAAAAATAAAATTCAGTACGTTTTTTTGTTTAAAAAAATTTTACAGAATAGTACTTTAAAATAAATTACGAGTGGTCATCGTAAGTATAGGAAGGTATTGAATTATTAAAAGGTGGACAAAATAATTATCTTTAGATGAAAATACCTAAAGAATAAATGATCAGAGTGATATAGTCATTCGGATCATTTTTATTCATAAAATTATAAAATATCGTAAAAAATAATCTAGAGCAAAAATTATTTTAATCATTAAATGTCGCACTGAGTATAATACAAGTTTTTCTTTTGAAGTTTTTTAATACGAATCTAGACAAAAGATATTATATTTAAATGTTCACCTTATCGTGAATTATTTTTATAAAGCATATATTAGGTGAGATGGGTATAACCAGGAGTAGTACATAGTAAGGATGCTACTGTTGCATAGAATTTTTATAGTTCATATTTTCGCCATATTTGTCGCTTTGAGCGACACATACATAGGGATCCACAACATCAAATAAAGAGTAAAAAATAACTAGAAGGAGTGTAATCAGTAGATGAGTACAAACATGACGAGTGATCGTTAATTTGCATATTGTTAATTTAATTATCTGACCAAATAACCTTATAACAATGATGAATACGAATCTTAGACTACGGTCGTGAAATTAAAGCTACTGATCATGCTACAATGAAGTTTGTCGAATTTCAAACAACCTTTATCGTTTTTCAATACTTAACTTCTATTTGTACGACACATTTACTTATAAATGTAAAAAATCAAGTAAGTATAATCATTCATTTTCAAACAGTATTTAAATTTGATTTACATTTTAGAGTAGTGTTAATTAGATATTCTTGATAACCTCAAATATTGATATTATTAACTAAGTCTAAGTTTAAGTTTAATATATTAGTGATAATTAATATTTTATTAATAATATACATATTAATTAGGGTGGCGATATTCTTCTTGAAACGATATCATCTAATGTTACCGAAGATGTAATTATCTTGGAATTTCAACGTTCTGATGGTACACTTGTAACGCAACTAATAGACTTCAAAAATGCAAGTATTAGTTAATATTTGGTATATTTATTTACTATATATACGTATAATTTAATTTAAGTATTGATGAGTAATTATTTCTTTATATTATATTTAGGAGGTACAAGTAATAAAGGCATTGGTTCTTGGTGAAGAGGAAAGAGGACAAAATCAGTATCAAGTTATGTGCTTCGTAAATCATTTTTATAAAGTTGATTTTATATCCTCCGATGCTATGTCTAAGCTACGTCAAAAGAACCCAGGCACTGTCCGTGTTGCCGAAGAAGATAAAGGTCATGCCAATTATACTATGGACTTGTTTTTAGATGTCTCTCAATCTAAGGATATTTCTAAACATGTAGCTAGTCTTTGTAGCGAAGCGGCTGGTTCAGCTTATACAAGAAACGAAGACATTAAACAGTGGATTCAAAGGCCAGGCAAGTTTTAACAATAAAGAAGTATATTTTTGAGTATACTTTCTTAAATATTAACATAATACTGTGTTTATTTATAGTAAGTGATGATAAATTTTATAAATGTAATTATTTTATCAGGATCTGTAGAGATGTCATTAATGACAGCAGTATACAACTTTACGCCTTCTCCTTTGCCAAATACTGTAGAAATGAAGTCGTCACCGTTTGTCTCTAAATGTGCTGACACATCCAATTTATGGGTACCTTGTACGTGTTCTTTAGAACTTTGTATTGGTTGGTATCCGTGTGGATTGAAATTTTGTAAAGGTAAAACTGAAGGTAGAAAAGTACCTAGCACTTATAGATGTGGTATAAAAACTTGTAAAAAATGTTTTATATTTACTTATTACTCAAAAATGAAGCAAAATTGTTTATGGGATGAATGACATATAAGAACGTTATTAGATGTGGATTCAACATGATTTAACACATAATGACACTTTTAAGTGCATTTTGTGCTTCGTACACAACTATAATAATTCCTATTGAATGAACAATATTCGTTGTTCACTTTTAATTACTCATCCTTTCAACAATTGTTTAGTATATTCAACAATTAAATAGGCTTTAATTAATTATTTCTACAAAAATTTGATTTTTATTGACGTTAGTTAGTTCAAAAATATATATCTTTAATGTTAATTCTTGTTTAAAAAGCTCTTGCACATTATTTTCTTATAATTTCAAGTTGTACCAATTGCAGGGAAACTAGTTTAATAATTAGCAAAACTTAGATCTGAAATGCACAAACTATTAAACATATGGCTCTTTTTTTATATATATGTATGTATATTTTTGAATGGATATATTTGTAATATAAACAAAAAAAAGAAACCATATTTATCCAGGGTATATAAAATAGGATAAATTTAACTCACTCTACAGACATTCCGAGTTTCTAACGTTCCATCCCATGCTCATTTATAATATAACATTAAATTTCTCTTTTCATGAGCACCAATCTTCTGAACTATTTATCTGCTGTATCAATTTATATCAGTCAATAAAAATATAACATTCCTAAAATGCTTCAATTTAAGGGGCTACAGTTTTATCAATCTATATGTATCATAGAATATGTCTATATGATATATTACAAATGATTCATTCAAATTTATAAATATAATGTTTCAATGATGTATGTATACGAGAAAAGATCAAATTACTACAAGTTGTAAATCTTTGAAGACACTTTTGTATATAATATAGTAAAGCGCTGCCATTTTTATATTAAATAATACATTGGGGGTACATTTTAATTTCTTATTGTATATATTATAATAATAATACATTGAAAATTGAATAAGGAACAAAAATGCTCATGAAAATATTCGAACATTGTTTATATAAAAATTTATATTAAATATTAATAACTGAATGTACAATAAATAATAATATCTATAAAACAGTAATATATAATATGTATAAATTATATAAAGTAATTTCTTAAAAACTATGGGAAAAATGAAGAGAAAGTTAAGTATATTGATGTGTTTATAAATGAAATTAATGTATATGTTTTTTAATAAGAGAACATACTACGTATTTAGTAGCTACATTACTGTAAAAAAGACTGCGAAATCTGTCCAATGAATAAAAATAAATATAAATGTTCTTTGAGCTTCCTTACAAAATAGGATACATTTATAATCCAATAATTTTGAGATAGAAGTAAATGTAATGTAGCCATTATTGACTAAATTGCTTTAATATTAATATTTTTCTGAACCGTGTGAGAAGTGAACATTTTCTCGTAAAAATCGAACTTATTATTTTAGCCTCTTGAGTCCGCTCTATTATGTTTTTCAAAAATATAATATTAGGTTCATAATCATTGATCCCAAAAACCCTCAAATACAGACTTTTGAAAAGATTCAATTACTTGTAATGAAAATTTCTGACTTTTTTCAGTCCGCCATTTTGGTTTTCAGCAAAATAATATTAGATTTGTAATCAGTGATCTCGAAGACAATATATAAATTTTAAAAAAGATTAAATAAAGTTTTAATAATAAAAACGCCCACAATATATATATTTTTTAAATAATATTAAATTCGTAATCAATAATCTCGGAAATTCTCAAATATTAATTTTCAATAAAATTAAACTACATCCTCTATACACTATACACGGTTAGTATGAGTTTATTTTAAGTTTTCCCTACATTGGTGGCTGTTATCGTATAGTGATTGTACGATGTATTTTGTAACTATGTGCGCGTATTAGGTAATTCGTATTATACATCGTTTCATGATAAATAATATCGCGAGTTTTTAAAAGTTATTGAATAAAAATAACTTGTAGAGTCACGCGTATATAATATTCAATTTTTTGGTTTTTAATATTATTTTGCATTATAGATTTACCACATTTATTTGTGGAAATTTTAATATACTCTTATATTACTAGTATACATTTATACTAATGTTTATTTGAATTTTTGCTTTATTCATTTATGCAATAATCACGAATCTTGACAGTCGATTACAGTATTTGGTACGTACTGCTATTAGTATATAAGTTTAGAAAATACGTGGTTGAACTGGGGTGTCGGAGGTGCTCTCTAGTTTAGAATTTTGTACTCTAGTGGTATGTGTTGCTGTCTATGTTTGCTTACTTAAAATATAGGTAATAGGGGCAGGCAGATAGCATTCTTTTTTAAGCGAATGTGTAAACTTTAATTTTAAGTTAGCAGGACTCGGAAACGGCACTGGGTTTGTTTCCCTTCAGGAGTGGAAGTTCCCGCTTCTGGGTTTATACAAAATTATCAGAAATTATATATTTTAATTCTATTACATTTACTTCGCAAATTTATTTTGTGATAATTCTGTAATATTTTTTATATATCATGATTCAAAGGAATTTTGCAATCTTTCGAAAAATTCATTTCTATTTCGATTCTATTTCAAATGAGATAAAGTCTCTAACAATCCCTTAAATAAAAAGATAAGCTTTAGGTATATTATTACATGTCAGTAGCTGTATTAAGATATTACCAATTACACAATAACAAAATAATAGTTTTTTAAGGCCTTTAGAGCTTTAAAGTCTTAATTAGGCCTGCTTTAGCAATCAAGGGATGAATTTATTCATTTTGAAACGAACTAATGTTTGTATCGAATTGTACGATCAATTTCGGGCAAATGTGAGATATGTAATAGTTAGTTGGTGGGCATACGAGGTTAGAAGCAACTGCCAGGCGTACTTTTTTTATAGGTGAGCTGTTTCTGGCAATCAACTGCAATTCTCTAAAAGGATGCAATGCCAATAAGAAACCACTGTAAGGGGTATCGCACTGCAATCGGCATAAACTTGTCTGCTGCGTATGATGCCATCAAACGCGTGGGCGTATGAATTGTTTGATTATATACAGATGTTCGTTTATTTTTTGGCTACGAAAACAACGCAAATTGTTTGACACACATATCTTAAGGATTCGAGTTTTCATGATAATTTGCGTTAATTAATTTAGAATCAACACAATCGGCTTCACAAAATACATATGTACATATATGTATAACTATAATATCTATATTTTAAATCTTTTGATTTAATATCTAATGTAATAACGCTAAATATTTTAAGCGTTCTAGTTCTTATTGTTAATAAACAAAAGGTTTATTAAAACAATAAGAAGAAATAGTATTATGATTTTTCGCCATATCGATTTCGATAGATTACGTTTGCGTCACAAGTTTGCGATTTGTTTCGCAAAGTATCTAGCGTGCAATGGATCTCAATTAAGCATTGCTATATAGTCTCTTTGAATTGACAGATGATTGGTAATGATCTATTAACACTGATAAAAATGTCTCAGCGTTGCTATTAATTAGTTTACGAACGCTCACCATCGGTATAACATTTTCATCGGTAGAGTAAGTTGACAGGCGTATATTTGTCTCTTCGGATAATCGGATCGATCATTCGGTATCTCGCTTCGGTGATACTTGCTTTAATATCATTATCAAACTCCTGATACCTATATACATTAGTGCGTATAATCATGTGGGCAGAAAATGAAGAAATGGTAATTATTTTTCGCGTATCGAAATATAATATACGATAATTTAGAAAAATTAAAATTCGCTCAATCTCTTTGAACATTTAATATTTTATTTTTGTAGCAAGAAATTGATCTCAGCAAGGATCAACTTAAACGTGAGTATTGTATATTTGGTATAACATTAATCGTTATTCAATTATTCGTATTAAAACATATTTTACATAAAACTTGGTAGATCTTAAAATGGCATTCGACACATTCGATCCCGAAAAGAAAGGCACTATTCAAACCTCGATGATTGGAACAATTTTAGAAATGTTAGGACACGAAATAAGAGGTGTTAATTTGCCAGACATGATCGCAACTTATGACTTATGGGGTGCGTTTAATTCTATCATAAAAAGGATTCTCAATTATTTTATACTTTTCGATTTTTAAAAGGAATGAAAAAGTAATTAAATTATTTTTTCTTTTTGTTGACCAAAACCAAAAACAATGCAATGTCAATTTAGGGACGGGAGAGTTAAAATTTGACGAATTCACCAAATTGGCATCTCGTTTTATGGAAGAGGACACGGACACGGAAGCAATGAAAGAGGAACTTAGGGAAGCTTTTCGAATTTACGATAAGGAAGGAAACGGTTATATTACCACCGATGTCTTCCGAGACATCCTTCATGAGTTGGACGACCAACTGTCCCCGGAGGAACTTGACATGATTATAGAGGAAGTGGACACTGATGGATCTGGCACACTTGACTTTGAAGGTAAAAAGAAGGCTTTTTTCTTTAAAAATTGCTTGTGTATACGGTATGCAGGTTTGTCTCTGTTCGATCTATCCTAGAGCTAAAATTGATAATTTATACTTCAGAATTCATGGAGGTCATGACGGGATAAATGATGAGCTTCTCGTCAGAATTAGCAACATTCACCAATGCGGACGAGAAGACCAAAAACATCATGTCAAGTGTACATATAGGGACATGTCTGCTTTTTCGAGTGTATGTGTGTACGCGTATGAGTGTGCGTTCGGCAGCATGTTCTTTGATCAAATTATATATTATATAAAATTTGATTATATGCAGTTGAAGTCTGTGCTTTTTAAAATTCCAGGATTGATTTTAGAGTTTTAACAAACTTCTTTTTTCAAAAGATCTTGAAATCGATAGAAATACATCTTGATGCATTTAACAAAGTTGAAATTTCATGAAATTCTATAGTTTGATCAAGAAACGTATTTTGCTGATACGCAAAACAATCATTATATAAAGTTTATAGAATCGTCTTCAATTAATGTAAACTTTTATTTGAATTTAATATGAATTCTTATCTAAAAATATATAAACAATTATAATGTGTGAATTTAGAAAAAATTTAATAAAGAGATAAAAATCGTAAAACATTACATTATCATCGTTCTTGATGAAATTATTTCCAGATCATTTAAATATATAATAATTGTTTAATTTACCTGCACACGTATACATCATACGTTCTAATAGTATATTTACAATTATTAAGTTTAGAGTGACGTTCACTAATTTTGTAAGAATTATATTTATAAAATATTCGCAACTATTTAATCGTTTACAAAAGGTAGAACAAAAGTAGAAAGAAATATAACATCGAAATAGTGACGACAGTAAGCTCTGCAGTATGTCAGATTTAACGATAGATTATCCACCCATGTATTCACCAATTTCCACTCGTCTTTTACGAGCTTATAATTAGCGACCTCTAAGAATAAAACACCTGCAGTTATTACGTAGAACCTTCTTAGATTCGTCTCAAGATTGTGTTTCCGGCGTAAAGCCAACTATGTCTATTGTCATAGCTTTCATCTGACACGTGTCTCACACAAATGTAATAAACTAATGCCACTTAGTAAGGTAATACGTTTTTGGCTTGATATCATATTCTTACTGACATTTAACGTTATGAACTACTAATTGTAAGTTAATAATTATAACTTAGTTGTAAAAATGCAAAGAAACGTAAATTTTATTTGCCGATAATGCCCATAGATATAATAAACTTCATTTCGATTCAATTACTATAGCTTTTTTAAGAGAAGTAAATGAATAACACAATTCTGAATTTTGTAAATAATTTGATGATCAATTCGAATGAAATTCCAAAAATTTATTAAAAGTGATTATACCTAATACGCTTAATAAAGTTTAATAGACTAAATTCTATTATAGATCGTTGATCGTTGATATCTCTGTAAAAGCAATTACAGTTTAGCAATTAGCAGGGTTGCGTCAGAACATAACTAAAAGTTTTCATCTACATTTAAATATTAACTATATAGGAAAGATATTAAAACTCCCATTTATTAAGTAATGTTCAGGTATAATTGAAAAATAAACATATAATATATACGTTTAAATAAGTAGTTATATACATTTGTTTCTATCGACTGTATCCATTAGTAAAATAAAAATACAAAATAAATGTTAAAATGAAATAAATATACAATGGCAAAAAAAATGTATATTACCTATAAACACGTAAATGTATGCTCCTAGAAATAGTTAATGACAAACATTCCAAGTGCGATGATTTCCAATTGGATCCATGTAGAAGCAATATTTGTAAGACTTAGCAACTTGTTCTGCTTAATTTCGTGTATATTATCATTACTATACGTTGCACAAATCGATAACGGATTGTAATCGATTGAACGCATCGGAAGTCGAGGATTTATGGAAGTAAAGAGGAACACTCGTGCGAATACTTGGTGTTGCAAGCAAGAAACCATTAACGCGGCTTTGGTACAATTGTGATGTGTTTAAGGAAGTAGGAGGAGTGGGGGGTACGTCCTCGATGAATTTGAAAACCGCTACATTCGAGGATTTGTAGATATTAGCACGCACAATTATGTGCCAGATCTTCGATATGACCACTTAAAACAGAAGTCCACAGCCAGAATTTGGTGCATACTCAGATAACTCGTGGACGTGGACGTGGACGTGGACGAGGACTTGGACGTGGACGTGGACGTGTCAATTGACAAGCTTGTTGTTTTAACATTTGAACATTCAATTATTAGAATCTCATCATGGTAAGTAGTGTTTTTAGTTTTAGAATTAAACCTATAATGAATAGAAAAAAGAATTGTAGAGTCTCAATTACGTTAACAGGATGATCTGACAAAGGACCAAATTGCGCGTAAGTGCGAATATAAGATTTCAAAATTAATAACAACTGATTTTTCTTATGATCGATCGACATTTTTTAATATTACGTATTACTTAAGTGTTGAAGAAAGCATTCAGCGCGTTTGATCATGAAAAGAAGGGTTGCATCGGCACTGACATGGTTGGCACAATTCTAACGATGTTGGGTTACGAGTTGAGTGAAAAAACACTTCAAGAAATCATTAAAGAGGTAGACGAAGATGGTGCGTGTTTAAAATATGCCAAAGGATAGATATTGTTTTTTTTTTCATATATTGTGTTTGTTTTTATCTTCATTTTATTCTTATAGGTTCCGGCGAGCTGGAATTCGAAGAATTCTGCACCTTAGCTGCGAGATTTTTAGTAGAAGAAGATACGGAGGCAATGCAACAAGAATTACGCGAGGCATTCCGTTTATACGACAAAGAAGGTAATGGTTACATTACAACCGCGGTATTTCGTGACATTCTTCATGAACTGGACGACAAGTTGACGAACGAGGAATTAGATCTGATGATCGAGGAAATTGATGCTGATGGTTCGGGAACTCTCGATTTTGATGGTAATATATATAATATATTTCATTCAAATAATAATGTGTGTCATGAGAAAGTGGTTTAAATTTAATGATTTTTATAATAATCAACACAATTTGACCCGATCTAATCAATGAAGGATCATTTTACTTTACAGAGTTTATGGAAGTCATGACTGGTGGTGACGACTAGCAAGTGGTCGTTTAGATTTTTTGAAGGTCACGTTTCAGCACGTAATTGGCAGCGATCACGGGAATGCTGACGTATTCATATTTTCTTAAACTTGGCAATAGTTAACACGATGAAGAACGTGCGAGTGGAAAGAAAAGCCAAGAGATAAGCTGTTATAAATTATTATACTAATTTATCTCTGTCGTTCGTTCGACCCCTGGCGCTTACCCTTTTTTACTTTTAGTTTCACACTTGAAAATGTAATCCCTGATAATTTCTTTTATGTAAAGCAAGTTTACGTATTACCATGAAGATTTTTTTAGTATAAGTTTACGTACTTACATAATTTTAATAGAAAAACAATTTGAATTGTAGAATCTTCAATATTTGCTGGTCACATTCCTGGTCTCGTTTTACATTCAATATATACAAGAACGTAGAAATATTAAATAAAACGTCATATGAATACGAAGGACTATCGTATTATATTATAATAAATATCTATAAATAATTAACGAATTTATTATATTCCCTATTATTCGTAAATACTATATAATATAATAATACTAAATAAAAAGAGAAAAAAATATATACTATATAATATAATAATAATAAATAATTTACGAATACTGCAGTGATCCACGAAAAAAGGAAAAGAGCCAAGAATAAGAAAAATAATAAAGAACGTTGGCGAAATATTCAAAGTTGTCAACTTGTGAAATACGATTCACTTGCTTTCTTTGGACCATTGGAATCAATGCTATTCTTATATGTTAAAATAAATTATAATCTATTGTTGGATGGAAAGTTCCTAGGCAAGCAAGTTTACTATTATATTTTATTTTTCATTCGAGTGTATTTTTATGCTTTTAATGGTGTTTAATTAAATTAAGAAATTTAATGCAAATTGACGGTAAATTTTATTAATACGCTACTTACATATGTATATATATATATATACACGCGATATTTCATCGATGAAAGTATAAGAATTTCATTAAATTTTTGTTCGCATAAAATTAATAGAGAATATCACGTGTGCAATGATGCAATAATGCTTTAATATTTTACAAATTACTTATCTACACATTCATTACATTTATACATTTAGATGATCTTATAATAACGAGATTTCAATAAATGAATAAAATCCTACAACTCGATCAACAAGTGTTTTAGTTGAGAAGCTTTTATATCGATCTTTCTATTTTTCTATTCAAATTTCAACTAGATCAACTATACATTGTACTTATATTAATGCCTCGAATGAAGCTCTCGAGAGTATTTTTGATTTTTTTCTGTAATTAATTATATTATATTTAAGATAAAAAGAAAAATGGAAGACATTTATAAATTGGAACTATTTACACAAAGTAACTCGTGTATTCATGAGGCATAACACCTCTCCTCGGATAAAATGTATGACTCGTTGAATATTCTAAAAGATTCGTGATCGAGCTCATGTAAACATCAGCAAATCTAAAAAGTCTTCTTGAGAAATAGGTCGGATTGTGATACGTTCTGAAAACCGAGCCGAATTGTTGATTGAATACACATTTTATTTCATTTCTCAATTGGTCGCGTTCCATCATCCATTTATTAAGTTCGTCCTGTACTTCGGGACCCTCATAATCTTGATGTTCTTCTATTAAACCGGTCAACATTTGAAGCCAATTTGCATTCTCCTTAAATTTTGGATCGTTAAGCGTTTCAATTTCGTGCTGTAAATTAAGATACATTGATTAAATATTAAATATTATATATATATATATTATATATAAATTTGTCATAAAATAATCAAACTTAAATCTTCAATATCATTCAAATAGTGAGGTTTACGGAAAAAATATAAGATACCTTTTTTGTAGAGCATTAAATTTCCTACAAAATTCGTCTAGAATATGTTTCTGTACAATCAATAAATGATGAGGTATCAATTTTAATCTATTAGATTGAAAAAAAAAATAAAAAACTGCGATGCGGAGGATCTTCCTATTGAAATTAAGAGCTCATATTTGGTGAGAATTTTTTTAAGGTCTCTAGCAACCCATTTTTCTGTGGCACTTGTAAAAAAAAAATATGTCATTTTTTTGACCCACCCTAATATATATATGTGTGTATATATATTATTTCGCTTACACTTTCGCGTTAATTGACTTCTAGTGTTCATTGTCTTATCTAATACTGATGCTGCTATTGTTGTTGGATTAATGTTATAAATTTTTAACACTTTTACTATATCTACGTATTTACGATTTTTATACGAAGTTATTGTCACAATTCAGTTGATAAAAGCAGACTAAACGTTTTGCAGAAGTATTACAATTAATACGAAAGAAAATATTTGTAGATAAATATTTGTAGATAATAAAGAATTACTAGAGAAATAATTCAGTGATCGCGTATTCTCAAAAATTTTCGAATATGATTTTTTCGAAAGAAAAAAGAAAAAATGTACATTCTTTTCTATGACTTATTTTGACATATAGAATCAATTAATTCTCTACCTGATAGATGATGTTCGGATAAATCTTGTATTAATACATATACATATAACAATGAAACATTTAAACTTTTAATTTATAATATTTCTAAACATCTTTAATTATTCTAATAATATATCTTTAATATAAATCATTATACATTTATTCTATATAAAAGATTTTATATTTACAGTTAACTCCTTAATTATTGCGCCAGTTCTCCAACCATGTTCCAGAGTTACGTCTGCCAAATCACTGTACGGATGATCACCAAAATACAACACCTGATGTCCTCGCCATCCTGTCATATCTTGCAACTGTTTAACCGTACCCTATTATTTTCGAAAAAAAATTTCTTACTATTATTTTATTCTCATACAAAATAAATCTTGCTGTCAAAGAACTGCAGAAAAGTAAAGATAGTCTGTAGCCGAACGGGACAACATAACTGTTAATATATGCGGACGATATTGCCTTTTTGGCGGACAATAAGGAGACAGTTAATAACACGAAAACCCTATTAGACGAAACAAAAAAATTAGGGCTGTAAATAAGTGTGGATAAAACCAAATATATAGTCACTGGTCACCGATAAAATTCAGAATGTGCGTAACATTGGAACTTTGGTCGTCCGGGATAAAATTTTTGAACGGGTCAGCAACTTTAGGTATTTAGAATCGATCCTTAACCAGACGAATGAAATAAACGAAGAACTTAAGAAAAGAATCAATTCAGGCAATGCATGCTTTTATTCGGTCAATAAATTACTCAGCTCGCGGGTGCTGTTTAGGCGTTTAAAAATCAGAATATACGGAACGATAATCCTACCGGTAGTCCTTTGTGGCAGCGAAATGTGGTCACTTACGTTACGGGATGAGAAAAAATTTAGGGTTTACGAGAATAAAGTTCTTTGTAAAATCTTCAGTGCAAAACGCGATGAGGAAACGGGTGAATGAAGAAAACTACATAACGTTGAATTGCACTAATTGTATAATATAATAAACAAGACATTAATAACGTCGTAAAATCATGCCGATTAAGATGAGCAGACTACGTGGCGCGTATGGGTGAGAAGCGAACAGCTTATAAAATACTAATCTGTATACCTAAGGGGAAAAGACCACTGGGTAGACCAAGACGTTGGTACGAGAACCGCGAATGGAGGGGTAGTGCTCAGGGAATACTAGCGGGATTTGCTATTTGTGGCAATAAACTTTTAAGTTCCTAACGCTAATTAATAACACAATAACGAAATTAATCTTATTGTCAAACAAATCTTATACAGATAAAATACTACTTACTTCTAAGTATATAACACCTTTTCGAAGTTTGGTTACACGATCCCATAGTTGAGTTTTTTTCACCTCGTCGTAAATTCGTAATGGCCGTGATTCCTCCGTGAAGAATCTTGGTTTTCTTGCTTGCACGATCACAACGTCAAAGTAATCCTTCCAATTATCGCCAACCAAAAATTTCATACCTTTATCACTGCAAAAAAATATAATTTATTTCTCATAACGATTAATAACAACAAAATGAATACAATATTTCGTAAACTATAATAGAAAGTTACACAAAATGAAATGGACTGTTTGTCACCAAGAACATATTTTTGTCAGCATTTTTGAGCCGCTCGAAGAACCTCCTTAAATCCTTGTTCTGTTCCAAATATTCGGCTACATTTTTTGTTACCATACCATGCATTATGGGATGACAACTTTGTACAGAATTCTGTATCGTAAAATAATAATCCATTAATTTAACGAAACACCATTACGTTAAAAGTAATTCAAACGTGTCGCGGTATGTTGAGCCGTTATTTTACTTTACCTTAACATCTCGGAAAAGTATTTCTGGATGATAATCGATATGATTCCTTAAAAAGTATTCCGTGACGTTGCATAGTAAACCCATTTCCGGTACGGAAAAGAGATCTGCTAGTTGTACCATTTTTGTTCGATGTAAACCATCCTTTAATTAAAAAGAAATATTTTTGATATTCAAACGAATCAATTTAAAATAACATCAAACTAGAAATGTATTTACCTTATGCTATCCCCATCCCATAAGGAACCATCGATAATGCATACAAATATAAAATTTGACTTTAATTATACCATTATGTTTTTTTTTATATCGCAAATTCATTTCATATTAATGGTTCTCGTATAAATGCGATTAGTAAATAAGATTGATGAGACTTAAGAGTTTATAGAGAAAAAAGAGTGATATATATATTAAAGTAATAAAAATTACGAAGTAATGTGAAAGGGATTGAGAGAGGAGAGAGAGAGAGAGAGAGAGAGAGAGAGATCGCATTGCATTAAAGAGAATTTAAATTGGTAACCTGTGAATGTTTGTGAGGTGCTTCAACATAAGCTATTGGAATTATTCTGTTCTTGTAGAGCCTCAGAACTTCGTCGTCCGGTAAAGGGTGTAGACCTCGATAAACACTACCAAACTGAATTTGTAGGAAACTGTCCAGTTTCAGCAATAGACCCTTTTCGATATCGTAATGAAGTCCACGAACAGCAAAATCCTCTTTATATTCGAGTGCTTTGATTCCTTCTGGATACTTGGTAATTATATTTTCCGTTTTAGTTATTTCAATATTAATTTGAAATGAATAATTTAAAACAATACCTTGTATTTTTCTATTAACATGTCTCGTCCTAAGTTATAAAGTAGATAGTCCATCGAAGGCTTGTAACAAGCAAGAGTGTAATCATAATCGAATCCATATACTTGAACTTCCTTCAGATCCAACTCGTTGCAAGCAAAGACACCTTTAGGATTGACATCTTGTGGAAGCTTCTTTGCTGCGTAAATAAAGTTATTTATTAATCATTATTTTTTTAACAGATATATTTAGATAAAAGAGTTGAATTTATTTACTGTTTCATATTATAGGGATTTACAATTTGTATATATTTAAGAAATAGCATCTTTCGAAAATAAGTCATTTCAAAGATCGTTACTCTACAAAATATATGTTTATAATATGCATAATAGGCATAATATATGTGTGTGTGTGTGTGTGCGCGCGTAAATATGTAACTTGTTACGTTTAATATTATACATACGTATACAATTTGCATGTTATGTCTGGTATAAGAATAGTATTGTCCGTATATATATATATATATATATATTTATACAAGTTGCATATACGACATCTGTTGTATATATTGTATAATATTGTGTCCAGGAAAACTTGAAAATAATTCCTTTTGCTCGACGTGGCACGTTGTTTACGGTGGGTCAGAATCGCGAATCAGGCCACCGGATCCATAATGCAATTTGACATTATTACGGAACGCGCACTGACTAAATGAAGAAAGCGAGCCCATCTTGTCATCGTATTTCTCCTTTGCCTGATATTTTAATTTTTTTTCTTCTTTACGTCTTCACGCAACTAAAGTGTAAAAGAAGAGAAAGAAAAGAAACTTAACTCGATATCGAACCGAGCCATTAAGGTGCTTATCTCGTAACATAAACCATACAATTCTGAGATAAAGGTCACACGGATCTCGATATAAAAAATTCAATTTCTTTTTTCTTCTATGCGTTTCCATGATTCGACAAGAGATCCAACGAATTCATTTTTTTATTAACAGCAATATCGATATGCCAAATAAGAGAGATTTAACGAATCTGTTACACAGATTTACAAGATATGTAATTCGAAAATCGAAGTAATATTTAAATGTAAGTATTTTTAATTAAGTAATTGTATCGGCAAGAACAATTTTTGTCAACATATACGTAACGTGTAATTTAAATATTATAATACATCTATGTATTATGTATAAGCATATATAATACTTACGTATCCCAGCATATTCGCTAAATTACGAGGGGTTTGCTTCGATGGTGTAGTATTACACGTCACTAACGAGTATACGTAATCTCTTCGCAAACAAGAGGATATTTATGAGAATCACCGTCAATTGGCTTTGTGAGACTAATACTTGGGTATACGTTATAATTTTCGCTTGGAAACAAGATCTCGAAAAGCTTTTCCTCAAAGGTGTTTGATATCGTGATTTTCATTGTTCTAATTAAATTCTATACATAACTTTGAATTAAAATAATAATAATACAAGATTTAAATCATGTATATTATAATTCTGTAATGTTTGGAAAAGAACAAGGAAAGAATAAGATAATCTTTTAAGTTTGCCGCAAACAACGTAAGGTAGGCTGGGTTGTAGGCGTTAAGAGATGATGCGCATGCGCAATAGTAAATATATACGAAAAGGAAAAGTGGCGCCTTAGAAAAGCATATTCAGCGCCATAGTGCGTGGCAAGTAGTGTTAGGTTGGGTTAAGCAAGATGGCAGTGAAAGAGTTACGATGGGTATACTCACATTTGCACTTCTCCAATATTCTCAGGTAATTTCCGCGCATGTCATGTCGAGTAACTTTGCCACGATTGATCGCACGATCACCAATCGATCGGATTCTTTTGTCGACATCGATGCGACAAAGTAAAAAACGACGAGACAAGTAGTTATTGCTTGTAACTTGATACGACGTCGCGACACCGACGGCAATCCTCGCGTGCAACATTACGAACAACTACTATTGGCGGACGAGTCGGTAACTCGAACGCGAAGCTTCGAGTCTATTGGCGCGGCTGATGCCGCGGCAAATTTGAATTTCTTCTACTTCTTATTCTTCTTCTTCCGCTTCCTCTTGGCCTGTTTCGTTTTCGTCTTTGATTGTCTCAGTGTACTTGAAATCTGAAAAAGTATTCCCAACCAAAATTGACTTTTATCAATTATCTAATCGTTCATATAATAATATAATCTAGAGCGTACACTCGACTATCTTTTGGTTTGGACTTATAATGATCAATAAGAAATGTCGAAGAATAATACAGTTTTATTATTTTTAAAAATTATATTTGGTTGCTACTATTGCGTTTTCATTACGCTGCCATTTTTAACGCTTATACCAAATTGATTAAAGGCCAAATGTTTACATTAGTTAGAATTAGCTCTTATATTGCATAAATATATATATAATATTTGTAATCTTAATTACTCTACTATTAAGTAGAGATAATTCAGTGTAAGCGTACTTGACTAATTAAATTTGTAAGCACAATTATCTCGAAAACAGGAACTGAAAAGAACAAATGTTATTTCTTTTAATTGATCCATATTCTATGTAATAATTTTTAAAATATTTTTTAAACCGCACTGTTTTTAAATAGTCTATGAAACGTTGCATACATAACAGTTTAAAATTTTGTCGGTTAGTTACCAAACCGAAAATATATACTCGAATTTGAAGGTGCACGTGCCTGTTGATAGAGAGAACGTGTTAATGAGTTGTTTACACGAAGATGATGTATATGTAAGAATTATAGAAGATGGCGTCGAAATGAAGCGCGTTACGTGGCCTTGTTACGATATGCTTGATCTAATTTGTTCTAGGCATATCATGCTACTCGCGTTACGCAATTCTTTAGGCGTCATAGATTATGACAGATCATGTTATAATAGGTAGGCATCGTGCTGGTAACCGCAGTATCATATGCGACGCGGTAACGATCACATGCATGCGAAATATGCAACAAAACAACAGTTTCGATTTTACTAATAATATTATTTTTTTTCTCCACGTTTTTTGATCTTTAAGTATTAATCTCTTTTTTCCTTCCACGTGTATAATATACTTTACCTAAAGATCAATTAGCAACGAGAATATTATTGTTAGATATATTTAAATATTCTTATCAGTTCTTTATTTTGATATGAAGAAAGAATCGTAAAGAGAAGAAGAGAAGGAAGTATCGCGTGCACGTTCACTTTTGTTCGCGACTATCGAACCCCCTGCATCTTACCCCCACCCCTTTTTATTTCACGAAAGATGCGTGGATCCAAATTGTCATCTTGTTTTTGTTTTTTTTATTTTTTTCTTCTCTCACGAACACGAGGCGATGCCGCAGTCCGTTTATAAATGTAGAACTCACGCAATATTGTTGAACAAAATGCCTGTGTCGAGAGTCCTCCCGCTCGTCGATTTACCAACTGCCGTCCAAGTGTTCATTCCTGGCTCTGCTTCCTCTCCCGTACGTTTCTCTCTCGTTCCCTCTTTCTCTCTCTCTTCCTTTCCCTCTCCTCCCTCTCGCTTCTCCATCCTCTAACGTACGACCTTTCTCTCTCGATGCGTTACAATTGCCTCTCTCTCTATCTCTCTCGACTCGTCTCCCTCGAAAGAGACACACATAGTCTATTTATATCTTTCTGTCTTTCGATCTTCGAATTCCAAGACACACCACCTGGCCATGACTTTGAAGCCTGATAAGTGTTCGTCTCTACACATGTCTATCGCAAGAAGCAATTGTCACTTTGCTCTTACTACTATGATTTTTGTCGATACAATTGTTAGATTATAATTAGCATTGAAAAGAAATGAAACGCAAAGAAATTTCTAAGGGCTCTATTTCTTTAGTTATCTAAAGGAAAATCATATTGGCGGGAATGCTTCAATCTGTTTTAATACCTTATTTTCTTAGATTTGTTACACATCATTGTTTAATATTTAGAGTTTTCATATAACGTTTATATATACATATATTTTAAAATAATATTAATAGTATAACATGTTTTAAGGTAAAGGAACTTCTATGTTATTTTGAGCACTTATTGTGAGAGAAGCGCGCCTTTTAAAATATTTACGATATTTATACGTATATATATAGTAAATACTATATTTTGTGATGAATCCTTATGTTCGATTTTATAGTAAACATAGAATCATTTTTTTTCTGTAATTTTTTCCTGTAATTTTTTCCTGAACAATTATTAGGAAGTATTAACCAATGTATTACATACATACATACACGTATATTTTATTCCTTTCGTTCGCATAAATAATATTACGATGACAATAGCAACATGTTAGCCTGAATCTTAAATCGTTTAGTAACTTGTTGACACGTAGAACATTCTCTAATAGATGATTTATGATTTGATACACAATTCGAATCATCGCACTAATACATTCTTTGATATTTAGTTAAATCCTATGATTGAATTTATCGAAATATAATTTAGAAAAGTCTATAAAAATTGATAAAGTTTTAATGACAATGATATTATAATATTATTTTTTGCATAACAACGAAAAAGAAATAATTATGAATTATAGGAAAAAGTTGAAAAAGAAAAATAAGAATGGAAATGGAAAAACAATACTTGTCATCGTCCAATCGATTGATTCTGTGGTTCAGAGCGCAACCGTACTTTGCCATATGTAGTCATTCCGTTGCTACCAGTGGAACGCGACCCCATTACCTTAATCTTTTACCGGTTGCCGGTCGTCGTACTTCGCGTGAATTTGTTTTTGATTGGCGCGCCTTTACGATCAGTCGATTATACGATTTTCACTGTCGTCTGGGCGTATTCTTCCTTGTATTTCAAAATTTTTCTCCTTTCGTAATGTACATAAAATGAACATTGAAAAATCAATAGTAGAGTGTATCATTAGAAAAAAATCAATCGAATTCAAGAAAGAAAAAAAAATTTGTCTATCTAACAAGACACATTTTTCTTTTTCTTCTATTTTCTATTGGTGGAGCAATAATAATTAATAATTGTTCCGTAGCGTTTCTCGCAGGTGCGTTCGTTCCTTTTCTATATGAAGAGAACCCGTCACTCGTATATCTAGAACGCGGTGATCGTAAGAAAAATGGACCTAGATGTTTTGCCACCGATCTCGACCGGTTTCTTCAACGCCAAAAGCGGCTCGCACGCGTGATCAAATTCTCTTAATCGTTAAGAAAGTTTGCACATGGTATGGTATGCAGGTACATGAGATACATATACACCTATAGAAAAATATTTGAGGACTTCCTACAATGATATCGGCTTATCATTTCGCATGACAATAAAAACCATCATGGAGATATCTTGCGTGCTACTTCAAAGTAGGAGTCTTGAAACGGTACTGACACATGGATGCGGTAATGAAGGAATATCGCTAATTAATGTTTATCTCACACCTCTTTCTTTCTCTCTATTACACTCATACAAAATCAAACACATACACGTATTTCATGATGCTCGATAAAACAACTCTAACGGGAAACGAAAATTTGGTATCGTTTTTTTATGATTCAAAATCCTATCGAAATTCTCGTCTACCCCGTTTGACGTCACATTCGGCAATTAACTACGAGATGGGTATTAAATTTACATATAGTAGTTGAAAAAATATTTTTTTTTTCGATACAACGTATACTTTGAAACGAATGTGAAATATTATATTATAAAATATTTATTTTCTCGAGATACACGTATTTTTTTCATGCGAATAATATCATTAATGTCTCGATTTAATGTCTCGATAATAATAAGATAAACATTATTGTCCAAGTATAATATAACATATGCCGAAATAAATATGTTAAAATTTTCGTTTTATCGATATTTTTGTTTTTGTCTACTTTTGTGAATTGAAATTTGGAGAATATGAAAATTTGGAAGTACTGTGATTTAACGACTACTAACATGTCGACATCGTCGATCGCGCAACGCTCGTGAATGTCAGGAAGACAGAAGAACGCAGATAGCTAGGGGCACTGTTCTGCTGACCTACTCCACGATTATCACTCACTACAGTCGATCGCGTCGTCGTCGTAAGCCAAATACAGGTGCGTGTGCGTTAACTAGCCTTGCCAACTATATATTTATACATA